GCTAGCCCATAATTCACTATATTTCCCATCAGGTCCACTCAGGGGCAAGCATACAAGCTGACATGTTTCCCGCCTGTGTAATCCTGCCCACCGTGATTAACCACAACCGGGGTGGATGGGCAAACAAACACTGGACAAACAGGAACTTATTTGGGTTTTTTTTTTTGAGGTTCTGTTCTTTTTTTTTTATTGTTTTTATTGAACTAAATATTTTTCTCCACTCCCCTCCCCTTCTACCACCTCCCACGGTTCCCATGCTCTCAATTTATTCAGGAGATTTTGTCTTTTTCTACTTCTACGTACATTAGATCCATGTATGTCTCTCTTAGGGTCATTTTGGTTGTCTAGGTTCTCTGGGACTTGGAATTGTAGGCTGGTTTTTGTTTTTTTCTTTATGTCTAAAAACCACTTATGAGTGAGTACATATGATATCTGTCTTCAATCAGGAACATATTAACTGCAAACAAACCCGCAAGGTATATTTTTCCTCTTTGATCTCAGTATCTGAGCCCCTTTAAGTGCTGGATTCTGTGTTGATGGACAGATGATTCACAAGAAATGTTATAAGAACGAGCTTTAGGTAGGAAAGTTGTTTACATTCCTAGCTATGGGAATGCAATACTGAGCCATCACTTCATAGGATGAGTAGATGCTCACATGCATTCCCTGGAGGGGTTTAAGCTGGTGGGATCTTGCTGCAGTGAAATATGTGCCTTACAAAGTTGCAGGGGAACTTTCTGTTTGCCCAGGAACCCCATTCTGGAAATCTGATCCAGAAGAAAATATATATATATACCAGTGGTAGGAAAATATATATATACCAGGCTGTTTGTGGAAGCAGTGCTTGTCATATGGCAAGCGATCTATGTGCCTACAAATGGAAGATGCCTGAGTTAGCGATGGCTCACCCATATATGAAATACTGTGTAGCTAAAAATCAAAAGCAAACTAAAGAATGTACCAAAATTTTCAGTATATGGTGTTCATTGTGAAAAAGTGAAATGCAAAGACTATATAAAGTCTACTACCCGTTAGGTAAGAAACCAGAGGCTGTCGAAAGCACGTGTATACATAGGTTCACTGGTGTGTATAATATAGTGCACACATGTACATAATAAGTGCACACATTGGTTCATTGGTGTGCACAATATAGTGCACATATTGGTTCATTGGTGTGTATAATACAGTGCACACATAGGTTCACTGGTGTGTATAATACAGTGCACACATGTACATGATAAGTGCACACATAGGTTCACTGGTGTGTATAATACAGTGCACACATGTACATGATAAGTGCACACGTGCGTTCATTGGTGTGTATAATACAGTGCACACGTAGATTCACTGGAGTGTATAACATACAAAGAATAAGCTTCCTCGTTACTTACAGGATGTGTGAGAAAACGGGTGGGAAGTGAGAACAGAGTGCTGAAGACAAGGCGCAGGCAGCGCCTCTCTGAGTTTATTGTACTGCTCTGATCTGTTTGTCCAGCCAGACAAATGTCACACAGAACCGCCTTTCATCTGGTTTCCTTTCTCTTGATAATAAAGCACTCTGACCAAGAGCAACTCTGAGGAGGAAAGAGTTCATTTATCTTCTACTTCCAGGTCATAGTTGGTCACTGAGGGAAGTCAGGGCAGGACCTTAAGACAGGAACCTGAATGCAGGACCACTTGGTAGTCCATGAGCTCCTCCGTCCAGGGATCTCACTCACGGGAGTACAGTGTGGAGGAGGATGCTTGCTCTCTGAGTCACTCAAACTCATGCCTTCCCAGCTTCCTTAGACAGCCTAGGACGTCCCATCCGGGGAATGGTCCCTGGGCGGGCTGGTTCCAGTCACAATAGTTAATAAACAAGACATTCTCTCACAGACTTGACCACAGAGCAGCCTGAGGAGGACGATCACACAGTTGAGACCCTTGTTTTTCTTCCAGGTGATTCTAGGCTTTGTCAATTAGAGAGTTAATGCTAATGAGTATACATGCCTCCTTTCCAATATTTATTTAAATTTAAATGCTGTGCTGGGAGAACTTGAAATCAGACAAAACGGCAAGGACTAACCGTATTGTACTATACATGTATATACACTAAAGGCCACTGCAAAAAGGTCTATGTACAAATGCTGTCCTATCCCACAAATGTGCGTGAATGCACGTCTCAGGGAATTTGGCTTAGCAATTCTGAAACCGCTTTCGTGTTTGTCAGCTAGAACTGGGAAGGTACGTAAACACACTGTGAATGACAAAAGCCACACTTGTCAAGCAGGAGAAAGAAATTACCAATAAAGAAGCGAGAGGAAGCAAGAGTAAATAAATAGGAGGTATCAGCATAGCTCAGGATTCTTGTTTTATGGATGTAGATGAGATCAAGGCCAGTCCGCAGCAAGTGAATCTTGAGGTGTGCTCATCAGGTCAAAGGGTTTGGAAAACTATGAAAGTAACAGCTTTCAACCACCTTTGATTGGCATCTCCACTCTGTCTGGCCCTTCAGCCCAGTCACTTTAGGTCGCGTGCCGTAGGACAGGCTGTCAGGAATTTTGAGCTCCAGTTCAGCAGAAGTTGGTTGGGTTTATCAGGTTTTATAGTCACTTCTGTATATTATTAAACCGTTGCGCACTTAGCCAGAGAGGGAAATCTTTGAGACATACTCCAGCTGTCCAATTAAGGGTCTTAATTTTGTATTCCTTCTGAAGGAAAACCCCAACAACTGTCAGTTGTAACAGACTCAGCCCGAGACAAGAGACTCCTAAAAAGCTGAACCTGCTGCTACCAGACTGGCATTAATGTCTGAGGGGGAAACTAGTTATGAATGATATAAGAACTGGGGGGAGGGTGTCTGCTTAATGTAAACAAAAGACAAGAGATGTAAAGTACGGATTAAAATCACCAACCTTTAGATCCTAGAGCCATCATTGTATAGAAGTATTTATGGTAATTGGTGTCAGTTGTCATGACCTTGAGTTATGGATAAATACTTAGGCTATTGGATGTATGCCATTAAAATGCAGAAAAGTACATTGTTCCTTCTTAGAGCTGTAAAGTGTTTAGAATAAAAATGTTGGCCTAAATAAATAAAATAAATAAATCTTCAATGGCCCAGAAAGCGTGTGTAATGACAATGATTATACAAGGATTAGGGTAGCCTGGATTGGACTATGTGAATCTTAAATAACGGATTATATCCTTAATCTAAGAATCGGGGTAGTGTTGTGGGTCATTTTGTTGAATCAGACTTTCTTTGATCTCAAGCTGTCTCTGTGCTGGATAATTTTCTGCCAGTTTTCTCAGGCAACAGCTGTTAGAGACTACTTCTGCATGGCTCGCATCTCTACATCCTGACACTCCTGTCCGTGGTAGCCCAACCCCCTCCAGGAGAACTCTGCCTCCTTTCAGAGAGCCTCACTCTGACCCCGTGTCTCCCTGGTCCAGAGAGTCTCCATCCTCACTCTGATCCAGTGTCTCCCTAGTCCAGAGAGTCTCCATCTTCACTCTGACCCAGTGTCTCCCTAGTCCAGTCCCAGTTTCCCTGGACTTGACACCCGTTCTCCATAGACTATGGCTTGGGGTTGTGGTTGTCTCCCAGTTTGCAAAAGATGATGGCGTTTTCACTTTTTATCTCTCAGTATTTTTATGTTATATTTGGCACTAGGAGAAGGACTGGAACGGCAATCCTTCTGATGGCCTTACCTAAGCACTCCGAGCCATTTTGACCTCCACGGCAGAGGCAGAGCAAGTTTCGACATAAGCTGATGCACCTAAGGCTTTGCTGTCATCCATGTCTCCTGCACCAGGATGGGATGAGAGCTGAACCCGCACAGACCTCTTTTAGGACCCTAATATTTCAGAAAAGCACACTAAACGTCTCTGGGAATAATGTAAGATAATGATGTAAACTTATCTTGAAAACTGGCATAAATACAGTGATATTAAATGTGCCTGATAATTATACACTACTTAATGACATAGTTAATCTCTTCCATCACTATCTACCCTCTTCTCTCTGAGCACCTTTCCCAACATCAGACAGTTCGGGGGCTGGGGGCCCCTTACCACGTGTATAATCTGTTTTCATATGCGTTGTAATGTGCTGAAAAGCACATTAAATGCTTCTAGTATATTTAAATATCTTAAAAGTATTTGTGGATGATGGTGGCTTCAGCAATTTTTTTATTGCTCTTAGGAGAATCTTTCAAGTAGGAATCAATTCGGTGTTGGCTTAGACCGAGTATTGCTCCCTTTCTCCCTCCCCTACCCTCTTCTCTGCTTCCTTGCCTTTTCTTTTCCTCCTTAATTCTCTCTCCTTTTTCTCTTTTCTCCCTTTCTCCCCACTGTCTGTCTGTCTGTCTGTCTGTCTGTCTGTCTCTCTCTCTCTCTCTCTCTCTCTCTCTCTCTCATACACACACACACACACACACACACACACACAGGCATGCACACATGTACACTGCTGCCTGTTCTTTTTTTCTTTCAAAGTCTTCAAAGGTTTTTAATTCTGTATCTTGAGAAATAATAATTGCAGTAATTGCCCAGCACAGTGCTAATTACAAGAGCCCTCTGGAGGGGCAGTTAATCTGAGACTTTCACGTAATAGACTGAAAGGCCTCCTGAGCTTTCCTGCCTCAGGTTTCACTCTGGAAAGCTCCGGAAAAACTCTGCCTTTGTTTACCTTAAGTTTTACCATCTTGTAATTGATGCTTGTCCTTGACACCCCTGGTCTCCTCCCATCCCCCAGCCCCAGCAAATAGCAGAAGCTCGTTGAGGCAGGAGCTATGCCTTTTAGGGACTGCTTGAGAAATAGTTGTTGACACATTTGACGTATTGACTCTCCAGGGCCACCTCAGCAAGCCCGTGACTTGTACTTCACCTCACTGGCTTCTTCCTCTTCAGGGCAGCATTCCTCACTCTAAATACACGCCTGAACTCTTTAGGGTAACCATTTTGGTATAACATTCAATGAAATTCTCTGTTCAACTTTAGAAAAACCTCAAAAAAGTCAATAAGATATTATATGTTTTATGAAGCTCTGGAACAGCGGTTCTCAACCTGTGAATTGTGACCCCTCTGGGGGTCGCACATCAGATATCCTGCATATCAGATATTTACACAATGATTCATAACAGTAGCAACATTGCAGTTATGAAATAGCAACGAAATAGTTTGATGGCTGTGGGTCACCTCACCATGAGGGACGGTGTTAAAGGGTCACAGCATTAGGAAGGTTGGGAACCATTTAAGGAAAGGATGTAAAGTAGATAATTCACCTACATAATCCTACGTGCCCTGGTGAGCTGATTTCTACTGGAGGAATCAGCAGATGGGGTTTAGGTGAAGGCTGGAAATCAGACTAGCTCAGAGAACTCAGTCCAATGCCACCGTCTGTGAAAGGCTTCCTCCCTTCCTCCTAACCTTGGACTTGGACAGACTGTTCTGAGAAATGAAGGTGTGTTCTTTGTGATTCAATCGATCTGGAGTGCCGAGACACTCCAAGACTGGAGCGAAGGCTCCTCTTACAATCTTGTTTCTTCATAGGCATGAGTGCTGGGGAAGACAGAACATCTAACAAGGACTTGAAAAGCCCAAGACGTACAGATTTCTACCCCTCAGATCTTTCTATTTATGTTCTCTGGGTGTCGGGATGAGGGTGACTCAGCCTTGACACACCAAAAGACGAGGCGGCGTGCAATCCAACCCTTACAGTCTCCCTCTCCCTGGCATATGGCAAGCTTTGTGACTGCCAAGTACAGACGGATTTTTGCTTTTGCTTCAGAAGATGGAGGCTCACCTTGCCCAAATGGCACTGGACAGGACGTCTTCTGGGCGGGGCTAGAAAGATATTCTGAGTTCATGGGCCAGCAGGATGTCTACACGTGTGGATTTTGTCCCTTGTTCTGAAAGCCTTACGTCATTGTTAATTCTATTCCAATGTTCCAGCGAAAACATACAAAAGAGTTCCTTCCCTCCAGTTCACGCAAGGCGGCCTCCCCTTTAGAAATAAACAGCGAAGCATTTCCTCACTGTCTCCCTGGATTCCAGAGCCAGGGTTCTCTCCACTAACAGTGAGACTGGACAAAGGTGATTGTTCTTTATGGAGGAAGTCTGATGCGTATGTTTGGGGTGGGTGCAGAGGAATGAATTGTTCCTCTGTGGCTTTTATCTATCGGAATAGATTTTGGTTTTGGTTTTGGTTTTTTCCTGCTCAATCTTGGCCCGGCTGGCAAGAAACCTAAAGGGAAGCTTGTTCTGAAAACCTGAGGTTATTTCCTGAAACTGTTCGCCTCAGGCTGGAAGACAAAGATGAGCACTAGCTCGTGGACACACCAGGAGCTGTTTATACAGGGTTGATACAACAGGAAATCAGGCTTCTGCTTCCGCTCAGTTTGTCCCTTCCTGTTTTGTCTGAACTATTTGAGGCAATGCCGTTGTCAGCACTAAACGGTCCTCTAGTGCAATATCACCTTGCAGCTGAGGGCCTGAGGAATCTTGGGAGAGGAGGTGAAACCAGCAATCCCGACCCAGTGTTCAGTAGCACAAATGCCCTACCTGTCCTGTGTGCTGATGGCACATTGGGGGAACCCCCAGCCTAGTGGCCTTGGCCAGGAGTCCCTGGGCCAGCCTCTCATCTGGCTCTGATCTGGCTCTGGGCCAGCTCTGATCTGGCTTCCTCACTTCTTACAGCACACGTCCACTGCACAGCTGCCAGGATTCTTGAAAGCTCCTAGTTGTCCAGGGTTGCTTCCTATAGAACTCGTATCCCAGGCCGTTCCCATCTGACCAAAGATGCAGGTGCTCCTCTTTAGGGATTCCTTCACGTCCAGATGCCTCATGTTTGAAACCCTGTGCAGAGGTAATGTATCACTCATCAAAACGCCTCAGGCCACTGGAATCATCTGTTCATGTCTCTACTTTAATTACTTTTTAGTGGACCAGAAAGAAACTGACGGTCTCCATCCATCTGCTGACCACTCAGTGAATCTCTGCGCAGGCCTGCTCCTGCTGAGGAGAGCTGGGCTTCTGTGGAAGGCTGAGGGCCGGAAGGTTCCCAGCATAGTTCCCCTCCCAGGCAGTGATTTGCTGGGTCCTGGTCCCTGTGAGCACCACCAGGCTCCTGGACTGTCCCGCACCACTTCCCGCCCTGAAGACTACTTCCTTATCGCCTCCCTGTGCTCATCAAAGTCAGTGGTTGGGGTCGGGTGGTAAGGTCTAGGTCTTTCTGTTGTCACTCATAAATGAGTTCCCCATGGCATTCAATCTCCGTGAGGAGAGCAGAAGTATTTCTCTTTGTGCTCTTCCTAGGTAGGCATGGTGGTTTGAATGAAAATGGTCCCTATGGGTTCACATGTTTGAATGCTTGGTCATCAGGGAGTGGCACTATTTGAGAAGGATTGAGAGAGAGGGCTTTGTTGGAGTGGGTGTAGCCTTGTTGAGGAAAGTATGTCAGTGGGAGTGGGCTTTGGGGTTTGAGAGGAAGCCTATGCCAGGCCCAGAGTCTGTCTCTCTCCCTTCCCTCCCCCTCCTCTCTCGGCCCAAGGATCAGGATGTCATTCCAACGCCACACCTGCCTGCCACCATGATGTTAATGGACTAAGCCCCTGAAACTGGCCAGACCCCAAGTTAGATATTTTCCTTTATGGGGATTGACGTGGTCATGGTGTCTCTTCACAGCAGTGGAGCAATGGCTATGACAGTAAATGAAACCAAACAGACGCATGCGGCAGGTATGCTTCATAACCATGGCCAAGCCTCTTCTGAAGAAGAAAGAAAGAACTTTTTAGAACCAACCAAACCCCATGAATATAAAATCATACAAATTAAAAGCTATATAGCGCCTTAAAGATCAACTAGCTGTCTATTGGGTTTGCAGGAAATAAAGGAATATAACGTTCTGTTTTTAAGCACATATTAGCATCTTATTAGAGACCCCTTACCATATCAATACATTAAGTGAATGATGAGAAAATTGTTTTACCATTATATAAATGCTGTGAACGACATAAAAGTACACATCTAGCAAATTACCCAACATTGTGATGCTCTTCTTTCCCTGTAATTAGCTCCATAAATATATGTCATTCTAATGATGCTAGCTAGTAATTCTTGCATTTTACTCATACCAGGCATTTTATGTATCTTAACCTCACTTGATCCTTTCAGTAGCCCAGGTGGTCGTTAATATCACCAGCGCCCGTTTAGACCTGGAGAGACAAAAACATGATGAGGGTAGCAGAATGCCCTGCCCAGTCACTTCACTGCTATGTTCCTTTATCAGAACTAAGTTCCTTTCGTTTTCCCTGGGCCCAAGGTGTACGTAGTCTCAGGTTCTCGGCTATCTGAGCTTTGTCAGGCATGGGTTCTAACTCATGAAGTGGGCCTGAAATCCAATCAGAGAGAGGTTGGTTACTCCCACAGCATTGGTGCCCCCAATAAATCAGCATATCATGCAGGCAGGTCACTACTGTAGACCACAGGGTTTGTAGTTGGAGTGGGTAGTTTCTGGCAGCATACAAAGTACCTTCCAATGTGAGGACCTGACTTTGCAAGCTCCATTTAAAGAAGGAGCTTCATCTTAAGCTGTATAATGAGTGGGGGCCAATCTCAGCTCCAGAAATGTGTTGCAATAGCAGAATTTGAACAAATTCCCTGAAAATAGCCAATTAAGGAGCTAGGGAGCAGGGCCATAAAATTTAACAAGGTTCAGTTGTTTCTAGAAGGCATCCTGTCCTTGAAGATACCTTTTCAGTTATTAGTGGCTCTTTGTTGGGGGTTTTGTGCCCAAAAACTAACCAGTGGTTTAAGAAACTACTTTACCCTATGTCCTGCTTACCCAGCCCCAAGACGACAGGACATGACCTCCCCTGATTTCAGGGCATTTCCCCTTTAAAATCCTCCTCTCTCCAGGCTTGCTGCCACACTTTCTTCACCCACCCTGCTGGGGTGCTGGAAAGGGGTGATCCAAACTCAGGTTTGTAAAATAAAAACCCTCATGTGATTTGCATCGGAAACTGGCCTCTGTGAATTTTGGGGGGCATCAGTAACTTGGGCATAACACTAGTACCATGAACACTAGCCAGTAAGGATGAAAGTTCTAGTTAGGCACCAGCTCATCTTTTCTACGTTCAATGAGAAATAATTGTTGTCTTTAGCAGTAGGGCCTTACTATCAGTTTGTGGAGTTTAATTCACACTACTGTAACTGAGCTAAGAGGTAGCAGAATTAAGATTCAAAGTTGGGATGAGTGGTCTATTCTTAATGTCCACAGTTGTAGACAGCAGGCATGGGTCTAACACTATATATATATATATAAGCTGTAGAACACAGCCAGCATTCTTAAGAAGAAGTTTATATTTTCTAGGAAAAACATACTCTTCATATCAGCTCTGCTGTAGATGGGATGGGGTTGGGAGCTGGCCCCTTGGCTTTCCCAAACCCTTTGCCTGTTGTAGCGAACTGAGCAAAACACCTGTGCCTGCAGCTGCTCTGAGCAAGAGACCCTGAAGGCAGGCTGGTGGGCCTGCAGCTGAAAGATCCCGAGAGCTGGGCGTGGCAAAGGATTCCAATATAAGCTTACTCTGAGCACAATAAAGTTGGCATTAGCATTCTTGTATCAAGGATGACCCCTGTCCATGTCTCTCTCTGTCTGTCTCTGTCTATATGTTTTTAAGTTTCCAGCTTGGTTCCCGGCTTGCATGCTGTCTTGTAGTGGCACGGACACTTACAAGACTGTCAGTTTTTACAGGACAGAACAGGAACCTTCGGCTTTTTACAAATGGAGGCTCCCAGCAAGATCAGCAACCAGGGAGCCGCTGAAAAGATTGCCCTCGGGAATGGTGAGGGTGGATTATATGGGTGTATGTGTTTTTCATCCCCAGACTCTTGCCCAGTAGTGGTTCTAGGTGGTGCAGGCGTCACAGCAGAAGGCACAGCTGAGACGGGAACTGGAGGGTCTCTGAGGGATGCCCTCTGGAAGGCTGATCAGCAGGAAAGTATTGAAACAGAGGCAGGAGGGGTAAATTGAAGGCCTCACAGTTTTTTAAAGAGACAGAGTAAAAAGAGTAAGTTTTTAAAGAGACAGAGTACAGACAGTCAGATTATAAGCCACGAAAAGATGGAATGTGTACAGATGTCTGTTATTGCGTTGTCTTTTATATTTTTTAACCATTTTCTTTTTCTTTTTTAAAATAATTTATTTACTTTTATTTTACATACATTGGTATTTTGGCTGCGTGTATCTCTGTGTGAGGGTGTCAGATCTTGGAGTTACAGACAGTTGTGAGCAGCCATGTGGGTGCTGGGAATTGAACCTGGGTCCTCTGGAAGAGCAGTCAGTACTCTTAACCACTGAGCCATCTTGCCAGCCCCGTCTTTTGTATTTTTGACTGGAGAAAAATATTTGATTTTGGGAACTGCTAAGAAAGGTGTCTGGACTTTAAAATATGGGTTTAAGGATCTGTTGCTTTGGAAAAGAGTTTCTGCTTTTGTCTCCACAGAGGATGAGAACCTGTAGATTCCTTTCAGACTAACTTGGTTTGATGGACCAAACCCCCTGAAATGTAGCTACCCATAAATATGTAAATACCCATAAAGATACCGCACCCCAATCAGCAGGAAGTAGTTAAAGAGAGAGAGAGCTACACCCAAATTCCCAAAAAACTGTTCACAAGCAGCAGTGTGCAGGCAGCAGGCTGGAGCCGCTCAGACCCCACTGGGCTGCCCATCTGCACACGGCATGTGAAGAAAATGACGGTGGACTCTGGCTCTGCATGCCCAAGCAGCGCAAGCAGCGAGTTTTCCTGCGGGACACAAGAAGCAGTCGCAGAGGGTCCCTGAGCCCACCTGTCGATCTGGTCCATTATGGTGGCACAGGCCCTTCATCTCTGCATCTCTGCTACCTGGATCCTGCGTTTCTGTCTGGGTGGTGATCTAGTTATATGTTATTTGTTTCATTCACCGCTCCTCATCACTACCCTCCAGTCACAATCAATTGTGTCTTCCTTCCTCGGGGTGGTCTTGCTTGTAATTGCCACAATACTCACCGCAGCCTAAATTGTTCTATTGCTGCATTGGCAGGCAGATAATACCAGCTTGGCAGTGATGGACTGCCTGGAAGGCATTGTTGTCTTGGTTTCTCTGCCCCTTGATGTTGTCATGGAGAAGCTAATTCCGTTCTACCGCTACTCATTTGAAGGTAATGTGTCTCTTCAGCGGCTCTAAAAAACATCTCTCCACCTAGGCATCTATGCTCTCACTGTGATAGATTCCTTTCAGAGCCATTTGTTTTGTCCACTTGAGATTTAAAAAAAAAAACTAATGGATATTTGAAAAATCCTCAATTGTTACCTCTTTGAATATTGCTTCCTCATCATTCCCTCTACAATTTCATTTTAAATCCCATTAAACTTCTACCATTAAATACATGGTAAAAATTCTTATTTTATCTTCCGTATGATTTTGTCCTTTTAAAAAAGAGATCTTGCTTTATATAACTGTGCTGCATGCCGGATAATTCATTTACCACCGCATTCCAGTTCACTGGTCTGTGTTTCAGATGTCTAAATACACATTAAATCTCTAAGCTCCTAGAGATGAGGAACTGGATCTATGTCATTTAGAGTGTCTGTCATTAACCAGCGATTGGTAAACATTTGCTTCAGTGAACTGGCTGGAGGTGGTTAAGCTGTTCTTCCTGAAAACTGAGAGTAGAAATGTGTTCTTAAAGAGAAACTGGTTTGTCCAATGGCACGGAAAGAAGGTTTGTTCCTATCATAATGACATATAGCCCTGGTTAGCATCTCTGTCTGTTGTGAAAGAAAGCTTTGGCCAAGCAGAAACATGTAGCAGGTGTGCTTAACAACCACGGCCAAACCTCTTTTGCAAATAAACTCTCAAGTGTCACCTGACTTAGGCCATGAAAATTGGGGCAGGAAACGCAACACGGTGCCAAACTTCAGACCGAGGTGACAAGCTGCCTCTGAATTGGGTTACCTCACCCAGTTTGATGGAGCTATTAATCTTCATATACTTTCTTCTTTAAAGGAATAAGGACAGTGGTTTAGTGTGCCTCTGAGAACCTGTTCAGGCCAGCTGTGGTATCTCATCCCAGGCACCACATAAGTGGGGTAGAAAGGCCTAATTCCACTTATTAATCACAGCACCCTACAACCTCCTCAGAACAAAGATTTGTGTCAACTGCCCAGCTAGCGACCACAGTATGCAGTCAGTCACTCTCCAGAAAAGATATACATGACTTCACAGTGTTCACGGTAGTTTCCTGTCCCAAGTAGGACAGGTGGAAGGGTGGGTCTCAGGGAGTGTCTCTTCCTGTGACATTCACACCTAGTTTGTAGACATTCCTCAGAGGGAGGTTCCTTCTGGGAGAGACACCAAACTCAAATCTTTAGCACAGCTCTACAGAGGAGCACGTGATCTCACTGCTGGTTTTGAGATTCTATCCAATGAGACAGGCTGTTGAGAGCGCCATGACTTTCCCCTTCCCGGCTTAGGTGACTGTCAGGCTAATCCACAGCTTCCATGCTGTTCTCCAGCAGCCCCAAAGCACAGAGAAAGAGCTGGCCTGTGCCGGAAAGGCCCTGAAATTGATCCACAGCCCCTGACTAGAATCTCAGACTGTAACGTGCGGAGTGGTATCCCAGGGTTCCCAAAGGGTGTGGTCAAATCCTTCCAATTACATTAATCAGAATTAATTTTATTATTATTGGTAGGTATGTATTCAAAAGTCCAGAGTAGTGGTATCTGACAGAGCCAAACACCGGGTAACCAAATATTGAAGCCCCAAAATCAGGAACACGAGCTAAATTCAACCTAAGTAAAATGGACTCACAGCTGAACAATCCCCAGTTTCCATGGGAACCCCCAGCTCTCGGGTCAGCATGTAGGGACAGATGACATGACCAGAGGTCAGTGCTCACTTCCTCCTCCTAGGAACCTGCTGTCTCTGCTATTCCTGGTGCTGGTGAGTTCCACCTGGGCCTGTGGCAAAAAACTAAATCCCGAAAGCATTAAAATTTATAAAGCTGTTGACAGGTAAGCCTCAAACAGCTTTTGAAGCACCTCTGTGTATGGTGTGTGTGTGTGTGTGTGTGTGTATATGTGTGTGTGTGTGTGTGTGTTGTGTGCAAACAACCATACCAGTGGCAAAAATTCAATATGCTTACCATACTGAATGTCTTAGTCCAAGTCCTTGGGACTCACTATCACAGAGGTAAGAATTCAGTGAGCCGGCCGGGTGGCGGTGGCACGCCTTTAATCCCAGCACTCGGGAGGCAGAGGCAGGCGGATCTCTGTGAGTTCGAGACCAGCCTGGTCTACAGAGCTAGTGCCAGGACAGGCTCCAAAGCCACAGAGAAACCCTGTCTCGAAAAAACAAAAAACAAAAAACAAAAAAAAAAAAAATTCAATGAGCCACCCACGATGGAAATGCAGGTTTGAAGATGGCGATGTCGTTACTATCTTATGGTTCCTTAAGAAAATGACAGGGGAGAGGAAATCTGAAATAAGATTCTTTGATTTTCAAAAAGCAAAGTAGAAATTGCACCACGATTACTTTGCTATTAGATAGAATTCCAGTCAGGAAATGAGAACAGACAGAATTCTTTGCTCAGGAGAGTTTTTTGCTTACACTAAATGTCTAAGGGCCACCAAGTCGATGAGGGCAAATCAGATCAGGAGCTTCACAGCCAAGGACACAGAGTACCTCTCCAGGTGTGGACAGTCCTCAGAGTCACAGACAAGAAAGCCATCGAGTCCCATGAGGGCTGACACTGCCTCACCATCAGGGACCTCAGGAGAAACCTTCTCAGTGACTTGCTGGATAGGAACTCGTCTGTCCTGAGAAGTGAAAAAGAATTGCGAACATGACGTCTGTGAGGAGAACACGAGACGGCTGTACATCTTGACCTTATTTGGGGGAAATGGCCATGGTACAATGAAGAGAGGAAGGGTTGGGGAGGGGCCAGAGGTAGAAGGGAGAGACGACACCCTGGGCATGGGCAGACAACAAAGCATTAAGGTTAGTGTTGGGTAGAAGAGAAAGCCTAGCCACCACTTTAAGGGGACCAAGAATCTAAATGTCCATACCTGTGACATTTGACAGCAAACATACAGATTGGGGCTATGTTCAGTAAATAAAATTACAGAAGTGACTGCATCCTCAATGTATGAGAGGATTATCAAATTATATCAACCAATATTATGCTTTTAGACTCAGCCAGGCTGAAGAGAAGTTTTTCGCTAGTTGGGAGACCAGGACAGAAAAGCAAGGAGAAAATGTAGCAATTAAACTTGCACATTGAACTAGATTGAGTTAGACACCAAAGAGGGGGTCATTTTAAGCTGATATTTAGCCATTTGCTGGAAGAGAAAACTCTCCAAGGGTAGTGACACCTGACTTTGCCCATGCCAGTTGGTGGGTAAAGTCAGAGAGCCCCAAGGTGCTTGCAGCAGCCGGCAGAGGGCGACCGCATGGCCTTGTACGTCCAATCCAACCATCACAACCCAGTGCCTCCATTGGCATAAGAAAACGTCAGGGTCTTTCATTAAGTCTTTGTATTTTGGCCATTGACTGGGAATGCTCCCCAGAGTATTATGTTGTCTTATCATGCTTTCTCCTTATTACAGGATACAGTATAACAACTCTTCATTAAAGAATGAAGACACTGAGGGCACACTTCAGTGTAGGACCTGCATCAGAAGATGGCTAGCGACACACGGCTTATTGATTCTAGCTAATGAATCAAGTTAAGAACCGGGAACTTTAAAGCCCCATTTAATAAACAGGGCTCTCTCTGCATTTCCCAAACCACATTCTCAGAACAATTAGGAACCCCAGGGGATAGGCCAAGGTATAGCTCAGGAGAGCAGTGGTTGAGTAACTTAGAAAAGATCAGGTTAAATCACGTAGCACGTTCTTTCCTGTGGAAATTCTGAGAACTTTATGTATACTGGGAAAGGGCTGGAACGCCAAGGTCCTACGGGCCAGAGAGCCACCACGTCTACGTCCCTTCACTTCCCATTAGAGTTCTTCCAGTACCCACAGGTCACTGTGGTTATATCCAGAGTTGAGGTCTTAGAACTTGGCCTTTGATAGGAAAGTTTTATAAAACTGGGTGTTTATTTGTTTTGTCTTTTGTTACTTGCTTCTTAAGTGTATGTATGTCAATTCATGGTGAACCTGTCTATGCAGGCTGGTTTTGTGTCGGCCTGATCCAGGCCGGCTATTTCATTTTCTTTCTTATTTTGGGGAGGGCGGGGAACAGGGGAATGTGGGGGCTCAAGATAGGGTCTCTCTGGGTAGCCCTGGCTGTCCTGGTATTTGCTCTATAAACCAGGTTGGCTTTGAATTCACAGAGATCTGTCTGCCTCTGCCTCCTAAATGCTGGGCTTAAACGCATGCGCCACCACCACCTGACTGTAGAGAACTTCTTAATTAATGATTGATTACAGGTGGTGCTGTCCTTGGGCTGGTAGGCCTGGTTCTATTAGGAAGCAGGCTGAATAAGTCTATAAGCAGTACCCCTCCATGGCCTCTGCATCAGCTCTTGCCTCCAGGTTCCTGCCCTGTTGGAGTTCCCTCAATGATAGGCTATAGTATGAAAAAAAAATCCAAATAAACCTCTCCTCCTCAGGTTGCTTTGGTCATGGTGTTTCGTCTCAGCAATGGTAACCCCGATAAAGACCCTGTCATTGACACTACGCCACGTTCTCAGCTTCATTCTGCCTCTCTCGTGATCTTGGATGAGTGACTTAACTTCTTTAGACAGGCTCATGTGCTGGGTTCCCAAAACAGGGAACCCCAAGCAGACAGCTTCTTCAAGAAGTGGCCAGCTCAGGGTCAAGGGTCATTAGATTCTGGAGAATGAGAGACATGACAAAGATTCGGGAATGGCAAGAGAAAACACGGAATTGCTATGCGGAGGCGGCCAGGGTGAGGTTCTGGAATGTGAGCTCTCCATTGCCAATGCCACGCCTCCTCCCAAGACAAAGCCAGTGGTTAAACTCAGAGTCTGTGTGCAGAAGCCTGCTTTCCAGGGGGAGACTGGACATCAGAATTTACACTCTTGCACGGGCCTGATCTGCCTGTCACTTTCTGGAATGGCAGGAGATGGGCTGGGGCAGTGCTGTGCTGTGCCTGCAGAAAGGGAAATGGGGAGTGGAGAGGGGAGAAATCTTTCCCATCCAGACCCAGGGAAAGTCTTCGGAAGCCCCAGCAGTGATCTCTGTGTGTGGTTCTTACCGCCTGGCTTGCTACTCCCAGAAAATCTTGCTTTCTAGATCCATCACTCATTCCTCGACAGGGCTCAAGTCTGGCCTGATGTGGAATCCCACTGTTATTGATGCTGTGTCTTCACAGCACTAATTTGTTATCAGAAGCATGTTTATCAGGAGTCCTGGTTATCACTCGGGAGCTAGGGAAAGGAAGGCTCTAAAGAGTCTTAGAAAAAAAATGTCTTCTTTACCACCCCATCCCTTGGCCTTCCTATTCTGATTTGGGCTGAGAGCCCATCTCTACTTTTCTAACTTTAGAGAGAAGTGCCCGCTCTTCTAACTTAGTTACAAGAAGCTTCTAACTTTTTGACTTGGTCTGGCTTTTTGTTAGACCTTAATGCCTAAATTATAGAGACTCTGGCTTGGCTCCTGATGCTCCTCCACCGCCCTTATCTTCCCACTATCTGAGGGCTAGTGGCCAACTGGGTGCAGAGACAAGTCAGACAAGACTGACTTCAGGCCCAAGCTCTGGCTCCTGGAGTCAGGGAATGTGCCGGGAGACTGGGCCTTTCCATCTTGGCCTGATTCAGCTGACATACCCCTTCCTCAGTTTACTCTTGTTTGTGACTGGAGTGGTCTGCCCTGGGTGCTTGTCTCTGCCCACCAGTCTCCTGGTTGTCCCTCGGCCTTCTCCTGGCCATGTGACTATAGTCCTCATGGTCTGGCTGACCTCTCCATCCCTGCCTGTCTTGCTGAATGAGGGTTCAGGCTGGGCTTCTTTCCTGTCAGGGAGGGGAACAGCCTGACGAGAGGTGTGTCTTTTGGCCCACTCTTCAAAAGCAGCACAGAGATCACCAGGCTTGGTCAGAGGAAGTCAGCTTCCAGAAGGCCCAGGCACTCCGCTACAGATATCCAGAACACATGGCTAGTTCCCACATATGGGGCGAAGAGCTCAATTATAAAACTTTTGGTCATTCATTTTATACCTGTATAATATGGAATCCATACTTAATAAACATGACAGCCCAAAATCTGAGAAACTTAGCAGAGCACTGACTTCGTAGGCCCCACCCTACTTCTAAGAAGCTGTGTGGTCTAAGACGTGTTGCTTCACCTAGAGAGGTGGCCAATTACCTGTTTCTAGAATGAGAAGGTCTGTTCACTCCGTGTATCATATTACCCCACTTTGTAACTACAGTTGCCCAGAAGGGGAAAAAAAAAAAAGCCTGCCAAATGCCAAAATGAACAAACTAAGTTTTTTTTGGACTCCTCACTTGAGAACTTCTGCCACAGTAATCGCCGAAACCCCGGGGGAGGGGGAGGCAACAGAGAAAGAGTAAATAACCAACTGTAGGGCCATTGGGGGAAAACAAACAGCGTACAAGTATCTCACCTGAAAATACGTATTCTGGAAGCCGCGAGCCCCTGTAATGTCAGTTCCTTCTCTGTCTGTCAGTAAAGCCCTGAGGATTCTGTTGTTCTTCATTAGGCATTCATTGTGTGATGGGGAGGCCAAGAAATCCCTGCTCCTGCAGTGAGTCCTCCAGGACATCCACTACCCTCATCCTCATTCTACACCATGCATTCAGACAGGTGCTGGCCTGCAGTAAGTTCTGGGTGTTTGGGAATGAGAAGGTCACGCCTCCCTGTGGTTGACTGAGGAGGAACAAGATGACCGTTACGGGTTTCCCATAAGACAAATGGCCGCTTTATAAAAGCCTATAGCTCAGAGGGGCCTATGAGAGAACTGCAGAAGGTGGCCGTCCCACCTCTGCGTGAGTGCGTCAACCTGGCTGTTCAGGTGGGACCAACAGAGCAAGCTGGGAATTATCAAGTTCACCTGGAAGCGGGAGTGGACCTTTACAATTCTTCCAGGCTGATTTCTGACAGGATTGTTTGTTTACCAACCTTCCTAAGAGGCCTTGGAATGTGGACCAGATAAAGTAGGTGAAGACCTGCATTCCAGAAGAACACTGTGACTCCTTTGTTTTCAGGGCTTGGCTGCTGCTTGTGTTGACCTCTCCTAAGCTGCCATTTTTATTAAGTTTTGAAGAATGGACTAATGTAGTATTTGGATGAACCAAGAGATTGGTTATTCATCGTCATTCTTTCATGCATGGCCTCTGTCCCATCTCCTTTGACCCCTGCCCAGGTCTCCTATCTGTCCAGGGAAATGTTTGCCAAATGACTGATTCAACATTCAGGGTGCTTCGCATTTTTGAGAGATGATCCTGATAGCATTTCACGCTTCCTTGAAAGGTCTGGGGAGTCTATCTTATCTCCAGGCTTTCCGCGTGCATCTTTTGGCTAAACTGCGTATAATCTCCAAAGTTATGGGTGGGTTTGAAGTGAGTTAAAGCCTTTGAAGTCTAGGGGGGAGTTCTTCCTGGGTCTTTTTCCAGTCAGTGTCTACCACACGACTATCTTTGCAGACCATTAGTGCCGTAATTCCAGAACCAATTGAAGGATTGGTTATTTACCACTAGCAGATAAGCAAGGTGAAAATGAAACGCTGGAAGGGAACCTGGACTGCGTCCTGAGCTGGATCCTGAGCTCTGGCCTGGCCTGGACGAAAGAATGGACCATACAAAGTCTGGATGCTGATGAGCAGCCCACCTGTGGCAGTGGCTGTTCCTTCTTGTTCCTTCTTGGCCTGGCAGCTGCTAAGCTGCACGGGGCTAGAGATGCAGGTGGAGGTGTGTCCTTACGGAAGCTCACCAGGCTGTTTGAGGCTATGACTTTGTGGCTTGCATTGCCAGAGAGAGTGATGGAGGGTCCTCCATCGGCTTGGTGGCAGAGGTCGTGTGGTTTAGTGCCCTTAACCCTCCTCCAGCATCTCTAGGGCATCTAAGGTGCTGCTACAGAGTTGAACAGGGAAGGTTCAGATGCTGCTCCATGGCTGTCCTGGAAAGCTCATTCTCAGTTGAAAACATTGTAAGTCAAAACGCATTTAAGACATACAACTCGCAGAACATCCTCACTGAGAAACTCGGTTCTGATGCTTCTAAGTATCTCTAGGATGTCTCACTACCCTGTACTAAATTGAGAGAAAGCAAAATAAGAGTTAAGAATGAAAGGTTGTGGCCACGGGATACATATCACTTATACACCACAGTGACAATGGAAAGGAAACAATACTTCGGGGCAGTATCTTGCTGGTCTTGGTCTTCTGAGGTTTTCTATTGTTGCTGTTTGCTTTTTCAGCTTCCTGTAATCTCTCAGCCAACTGCTCTGTGGTAACTCAGGTAGCCTTTGGGATCCAATTCAGGGAGCCAGTTCTTCCAGACTTCAGAATGCCTTGAAGCAACTGGCCTTCTCTTTCACCGGCTCTTGGCCTTCCAAGAGCTGAAGCCCAGTCTGTGTGTGTTCGGTTCTTTAGGTTCCTCACGGGGCTCCTCACTGAGTATCACAGAGGCAAAATGGTCCATGGGCCAGCAGGATGACAAAGTACTCCTAAGCAGTCCCCATTGCTTGCCCACTTTTCCTTTTTTGCTTGTAATCCTACCTAGAAAAGTAATTGAAGACTCTACTACTTTTTATATCTCAGTTAATGTTAATCACTAGTCTCGCTCCTAGCTTAAAGAGTCTTGCCTTAGAGAGCTGGCTCCTGCACACTGGAGAGATGGCCCCCACCCCTTCATAACAGGCCAGGGTGAACCGACCCTGAGGACATATTAAAACTTAAAAATAAATTAAAAAAAAAAAAACAAAAGAAAGGAGGGAAGAAATCAGAAAATGATATGAGCTAAAAAACGTGGAGACCAAGAATTCTAGTCTTATCTCCACTGTAAATTGTCACACGACACTGGGTGATGTGACTTACTTAATGCAGTGATTCTCAACCTGTGGGTCGTGGCCCCTTATGCAGGAGTTGCATATCAGATATTTACATTACGATTCACAGCAGTAGTAAAATTACAGTTATGATTTTATAACAACAAAATAATTTTATGGCTGGGGGTCACCACAAGATAAAGAACTGTATTAAAGGGTCGCAGCATTAGGAAAGCTGAGAACCATTGACTTAGTGGCTTCATTCTCTTGTCCAACGTTTGGTATGATCTCACTAGCTGGTCGCATTCATATATCACCGTCACAGTCTGCTTCTATGACTCTGTGGCTGGTGCCTGACTGGGAACAAGTAAAGGACATCCTTTGCCACAGCCTTACAATTCTGTCTGTTCTCGGGATCTTCTCTGGCGGGAGGAGTAAGGGGTACACTCATCCATTGCTGGTGGGAATGCAAACTTGTGCAACCACTTTGGAAATCAGTGTGGCGGTTTCTCAGGAAATTCGGGATCAACCTACCCCAAGACCCAGCAATACTACTCTTGGGAATATACCCAAGAGATGCCCTATCATATTACAAAAGCAGTTGTTCAACTATGTTCATAGCAGCATTATTTGTAATAGCCAGAACCTGGAAACAACCTAGATGCCCTTCAATGGAAGAATGGATAAAGAAAGTGTGGAATATATACATATTAGAGTACTACTCAGCGGTAAAAAACAATGACATCTTGAATTTTGCATGCAAATGGGTGGAAATAGAAAACACTATTCTGAGTGAGGTAACCCAGACCCAAAAAGATGAACATGGGATGTACTCACTCATAATTGGCTTCTAGCCATAAATAAAGGGCATTGAGCCTATAATTTGTGATCCTAGAGAAGCTAAATAAGAAGGTGAACCCAAAGAAAAACATATAGTCATCCTCTTGGATATGGGAAGTAGACAAGATTGCTGGACAAAAATTGGGAACTTGGTGGTGGGGTGGGATGGGGGTAAAGGGAAATGGGGAGAGAAAAGTAAGTAGGGGAGGA